ATGGAATGCCTTGTTAGTATATGGCTTATTGGCATATCAGTAGGTGCAAATAGACACGTTCCGACATGCCACTTGAACTCCCCCGAAACCCCCCGCCTCACATTGCATGCCAAAAAATCAAATGATGTGCAATTAACTTGCGCGCCTTCTACAGGCATGCCTTTTAATAAATACACATACCAGGAGCTATCTCCTGCAAGTTACTTGCATGCTATTGTGCAAGCAAGAGGCATGTGTATTGCCGCCTTTCATTCTGTTTAATTTGAGGAGACTGTATAAACTACTCAAAATTTGAAATGGGGCATCCTAAAAAATGGATCCGTTAGGAATTACTGTAATATGCTCAAATTAATCCACTGCAGAAGAACTTGCATCAGTCATAATAATGATAAGTAATATGAATGTTCTTGTTTATGGAGCCATTTTTATATAACCGAAGATTGAAGCTGAACAAATCATGGTTGTAATTGTGAAAACAAAGTTCATACGTCAATTTATTTGATTTCAATGCTGCTTTTTTGATTGGGCTAATAGCAATTAGTTCTTGTGACTATGTTAATGGTAACGGAAGGAAAAAAATGATTACAGCAGTTGAAGCTACAGTCAGAAGANTCAATAGTCCTTTAATTCTGTTTAATTTGAGGAGACTGTATAAACTACTCAAAATATGAAATGGGGCATCCTAAAAAATGGATCCGTTAGGAATTACTGTAATATGCTCAAATTAATACATTGCAGAAGAACTTGCATCAGTCATAATAGTGATAAGTAATATAAATTTTCTTGTTTATGGAGCCATTTTTATATAACCGAAGATTGAAGCTGAACAAATCATGGTTGTAATTGTGAAAACAAAGTTCATACGTCAATTTATTTGATTTCAATGCTGCTTTTTTGATTGGGCTAATAGCAATTAGTTCTTGTGACTATGTTAATGGTAACGGAAGGAAAAAAATGATTACAGCAGTTGAAGCTACAGTCAGAAGAGCCTGATGAAGAAAGAAATAATAGCAAATGCCAGTATAACCTGATGAGAACTTCCTAAATGGTCGGAAATAGACTTGGTGAAACAAAACTCAGACGTACCTACAAAATGGATCAGAGACCACCGAAGAAATATTCTTAGGTCGTCCATAGTAGCAACTCCGCTACTACGAAAGTGGGATAAAACTGTAAGTACTACTTCTTCCGTAGTAGTCGAACTATTGACAGACACGTTTAAGACCATCTTTATCCACAAATCAGTTGGTCCTCTACATCTCATTAAATATATCAAAGGATTCTAATACCTCCAAAATATCATTAGTTACACAATTACAGGTTTTCTAAAGGATCTCAAAGCTAACAGTTTTCCTAGGCCGAATTTGATCCCTTACAAAATGTTAATAGATCGTAGTGTAGTTCTCACCATACCATTAGCTGATATGACTAGACAGATACCTCTGGATTGGACGAGAACAACTACAGGCTAATAAGTCTCACTTTGTCTGAACTAATGGGGAGAATATTTGCTAACCATCACACCAATTTCCTTCTCAACTACAATATTGTTTCAAATTATCAACTTGGATTCTTGCTACGCTTCAACAATAATGAACGTGTTAGCCTGCCTAAATAATTAAACTTTATCTGTGGATAAAAAGGCTCTCACTAATGTCTGGATGATTTGAACTTTTCAAAGGCGTTCCACGAAAACACCATGCACCTAAACTAGACCATTTTGAAGTACGTGTCAATTAAAGCATCCGGCCGGTGTTACTCAGAGATCGGTACTGAGTTCAATGCTGTATTTAATCCTCTTATCGAACATTATCAACTTTAATCATATACATGAACTTACAAAACGATATGAACAGTGATTAATACCTTGTAACTCTTATAAATACACAGTTCTACACATGTATCAATAATCCTAAACTGAAGCCTGGATAATTATTATTATCGGCGACATTGGGATGAAGATAGAAATAGAATATTTCAGTTGCAAGTTTAACTATCGACTCATGCATGAACTTATAAAAGCCCTTATGGAACAGTGAGGAATAGTTCTGTTTCAAGTAATTATTTTTTAATTCACTAAAAATGGCTATATGTTTTCCTACAGTCTGATGCAAGTTTTCCTCAAATCGGTTAAGTATTTTACAGTAGGTAATTCAGAATGGTGCCCCTTTTAAAATTTTGAATACTGTATTTAAAATAAACATGGAACAAAAATAAGTCTTTCAATCTTTTAGCTATTTTGCGATAATTAATATAACCAGCATGGTCGTTACTTTGCCATATGCCTCTTATAAGTCTTTTACTGTTAAGATATATCTATCAAACCCAAAATGGCCTTATTCGTGAAAAATACTATTTTCGTATTATATAGGGTGCTTTCTTAAATGGTTCGTAAGTGACACAAATAAGTAAAATTGGCTCTTTTTCAAAAAATTTTACAGTTCCCGTAAAATATATTTATTCCAAACTTTAAATTCGTGGAGTATTAAAACTGCATTTTTTTAAATTTAATAGTAAAGTATTTTACGCATTATATCATTTTTTGTTCTATATATTGTTATACTCTCGAAGTTCAATTTAAGGTGTTATACTATTATTTTATGTAAAATTTAATCTTTTCATATACTGATATGATTCAATTACTTTTATACATATATTAAAATTAGAATCATTTACGGAAGTACTTGTAAAAATTACATTAAATAGGGGTTCAAATAAATTATAATACCTATATTGTTACTTGAAATTTGAACAAATCTCCACTATTATTTAGTACGGATTCCAGAATTGTCTATTCTATTAAAAGAATTGATAAAATCTTTAAATAAGCTTATACAACCAGCAGCACGCATTATAATAAGAATTGTTACTGTTGGAACATTTAAAATAACAGACTAATTTTTAGAAATAATTTCAGATATACGATTATTTTTTAATTAAACGCTTAATTATTTTTCCTAAATTAATTACTGGTTTAACTACAACGAAATGTTTCTTTAGGGATATGAAAATACTAAATTTAAATCTTTGGTAAGGACCAAGAGATCATGTAAGATTTATTTGAGTACAACCGAAGATAAATTTTGTTTTTCCTCAAACCCTTAGAATATCTTTGAAATTGATCAAGAATGAGGCAATCTCGAAATAATTTTCAATTACGTGGTTAATGTTAGCCTTTGAATACAGATTATGAAAAAATTATTTTGTCCTTTAATGAGATAATATATATTTAAATCAAGTTATGTCCTATTCTCATTTTAAATAGGTGTAACATCACTTTGGACCAAAAATTCCAATAATTAACTTATATTTACATTTTTAACTCTCTTCGTACATATGTTCTGTTTGGATAGATTATTCCTTATTTTTGATAATGATTAATCACTACCTTGTCTACGTATATAGTTGGTTCCTTCGTTCTTTAATGTAGTTACCTAAATATTTGATATTAAAAGTATGTGCAACTTTATTTAATGAAAAGCAAGGATTTTTTTAATTTAAAAAGTATATATTTTATTAGCTTTCGTATTTTTACTTTCTTATAAAGGTGTTAAGTCAGACTTTGTTCTTCGATACGAAAAATACGATATGTCTTGTATTTGCATTGTTCCAACATTGCCCTTGACGAAGACCAACACTATTTCCACATTTTATTGGGCATATCTAAATTAACTCAGTTATCTTTTAATTAAAGTGAAAGTACCTTATTCAAAATAATATCTTGACAGTATTCTTTTTCTTCAAGGGTATAAGATTAAAGATGTTTTTCAATGCTGGATGGGGCTTTAACCTACAGAGTATTTATTTCTTCTAACGTCTTTAGTTATTAATTAATAAGTTCTTTTTTAGGTTACTTCGTAGCATACATACAGGGTGTTCTTTTTTTAAAAAAAAATAAGATGGTTTACAGTTAACATTCGGCATTAAATTTCTACCTCCCTGTATGAAATTAAGTCATTTTGAAATTATGACAGGGAAGCTTAGTGTTTTAGTTATGTCCCCTATAAATATTATCGCTCTATCTTTATTATTGTAAAATACACCTCTTTTTGAAGTAGATAGGTACTGCTTTTTTATTTTTTTTTTTTTTAATTAAATACATATATCAAAAACGGTTAACTTTAAGAATAGGAAACATTTATGAAAGTTTACCTAAAAATTGACGTAGAATCCAAAATTGCAATAATATACACGGTGTTATTTAAAATCACGAAGATGACGTCAACTTATATTGTATAATAGTCTCTGAAATATATTTAATGTCTCGTCACCGTGGGACACCCTGTATTGGTGTCAAAGAGCATATATGACTTCAGTAGAGATAATTTTAAGAAAATTTCTAGACTTGATTTGATTCAGCTGAATATCTTATAAAGTGAAAGCACTAAATCATGGAATAAAACTACATAGAAAAATTTAAATATTTTATTATCCAGCTATTTTATAATTTTGCAATATGTACAATAAGACATTCATCTTCACTTTAATTTACACTCAGACTTAAAAGTTTAGAGATAATTTAAGTAAAAATCCAGAATCAACTGTTAATATGATTCAGCTTATATAGAGAATTACCAACAATTTTAACAAATAATATATTACAAAAGGTAAAGTCACATGTTTAAATATCCTGCAGTTTTTAGAACCTTGAGTCAATTTTAAAAGTAAAATAATAATTTTTGTACATAGTATATCTACTTTTTTTATTTAATAAATCAAATAATTTACCTTTTGTAATACACTGATAGAAAATCGACGCGTTTTAAGATTTTATGATGTCCATAATTTTTTAATTAATTAATCCTGTGAAATTTTAGAAAATATTTTAATTATACATAATTATATAATGTAATAACAGAAGAAGATCATAAAACAGAATAAAATAATACAAAAATTAATTATCTAGTATATTTCTGTCCTTTGTAATATAATATTTACTACAGACATACGAGATTAATGAGTTTTATTAAAACTGATGGTAAAAGTACTTATTAAATAATTAATTATAAATATTATAAATATAGGAAATCACAAAACTATTACTAAAATGACACTTATCATTTTTTTATCACAAAACTATAAAAGGTTCTACAAGAACCAATACTGTAACAAAAGTGGTAACTATTTGGCACCTCTAACATTAAGTTATGAGCAATATTTATGGCAGTGATAGCAATTATTTTTATTTTTACAATAATTTACATAGAAAAAAAGATAGGCAACATGCATAAATATTTAGGACCTAATTTCTGTCTACAAAATTGTAACCTGTGTTTTCAATAAATTATTTTCAATATTTATTACGAGAGAAACTTTGTACAACTTTGTTAATAACATACTGAAGTTCAACAAAAAATTAGTTTACTTAGTTTGACATACAATCAAATTTTATTAGAAAAGATAGGTACCGATAAGAGTTAATGTTTATAGATATATTTAAAAAATTAACTAAACAGATTCTGATTTCACTTCTTAGTGAAATAAAAATATTCATCATATCTTCTTTTAAAAATAGGATTAACAAATATTTTACTTGTAACTTACAATTAGAAAAAAAAAGAAGCAGGTCGTAATTCCATGAAATTGGTCAGTTGTAATCGATTTAGTTATAGAGACTACTGGTTGCCTATACTTTCTCGGTATTACATTATTTCTTAAATACAAGCTCATAAACCTACACAATATTTCTTAAGTCGAATATTTACAAATTACAAGTAAAAAAGTGAATTATTAACTACAATTATAACAGACGAAGATGTAGTCATTTAAACGTAAAATCTAGATAATTAAAAATATGGTTCGAGTTGAAGTATTGTTAACACATTCATACAAAAATGAAATTTTTATTATTATACTGGGAAAAATATATAATATTTTCTAATTGATGGGAAGATCTTAATCACTGAAATTCAATGAATGTTATATATACAGGGTGATACTTTTAAAGGTTCATTTACTATAAGCAAGTTCAGTATTAACGTCTAGGTGTTCTAGATAATTTGTCTTCTCATGTGTAGCAATTAGAAAACGACAAAACATAAACGGAGCATCGAAATGTCATTACCTCCATACCATAAGGAGATACGAGAATCTATATAAAACTGTCTTCATGATGCAGAGGGGGGACCTTAAATGGTACAATAAATTGGGTATAAATTGGGAATTAAAAATCGTGTTAACAAAAAGAAGCCCAAAAATTGTTTTCTTTTACCAGGAACCTAATTTGGGTTGTTTGGGTTGATTTATGGGGAACTGTTTTAATTGGATTTTTCTTCTTTTTTATTTTATAGACAATATTTTCAACATTCAACAAACTTTATATTGTCTGAAGTTATTGCTTTTCCTTTATTTATTAAGTATTTTGTAATAATTGATTAAACTAATCCCTGAACCAAAAGGATCAGTCAAAAATTTTTATAAAATATTTTTTACCTAACAAATAATCTAAACCCAGTTTAGGTTGTCATGTTATGATGCCATGTAATTTGTTACATTATTTAAATTTCTCGCCACTTGTATCAAAGAAACGATTTACATGGATTTTCGTATCTCCAGATTCTTAAAGTGATGACATACATTCAACAAAATAATTGGTTATGTAGGCACAAGTAAACCAAATTCACTGAAACCCTTAGCGTAGGATGCGCAATGGCAAAGTAGTGGTACCTTTACTATGGGTTACTTTCTGCCTGCATTTCCATTACATTCACAGCAGTTAGCTCTATTATTACACAAACATTTGTTTTTGGATTTCTTTATGCTATTAACATCAACAAAACTAATAACAAATTTTGAGAAAAGCACAAACTAGAAACATGACATCATCGAAATAATTGAAAGAAATAATGTGTAGGCTACTGTAGATACTAAAGCGTTTTCATGTGCTATGTTAGACCATGGAACCAAACATCCTTTTTCCCCTGGTAAGCATCAAACTAACAGCCATTACAGAAAGGAGGAAGAAGATGAGACCCAGAAAGGAAGTCAGCAGTCTGCACCTGCACCTCCACTTCTTGTCTTCCTTCATCCTCTTCGACAACAACTCTGAACGTGGGACGTCCAGTGTGAAATCAGCTTCAGGCCTCCCACCAGGCTGTAATGTCAAAAAATATTCATTATTATTAACAATTAAACATATACTAAAAAAAATATATGACGTAATAAAAAACACGCAAATCAGTAAAGGAATGTCGATATTTGATAATGGTTCCCAGGTATTTGGAACATTCAGCTAGTTCTTTATGTTAATTGATCAGAAAATATTATTTTCGTGTCACATGACACGCTCTACTCCCTTATTTCTTAACTCTTGTTAATCTTGAATTGTAAATAGTGTAATCAAAACACAATGCATTGGATTTCCTAGCATATGTCAGAACGTAGCATGTGCTTATGTTTAATAAAAAGCAATTAGTTGTACACTACTCATAAATTTTAGTCAAGTGTAATTGGATCCTGAGGAGAATTAATTTTTCTAAATAGCTTAAGATCGTCAGCACACAGAAGGCAGTTAATAAAGTTAACCCTATTATTTACGAAAAGAGTAAAGGTCTGAGACAGGAATCCTGTGGGACACCAGACGTAGAAACATGTTCCGTAGACTTGAAACCACGGACTTCGATAAACTATAAACGTTCAGAGACGTAGGATTTTAATTGACTAAGCAAATCATCGAAACCACCAGTCATATTGAGTTTATCAAGTAAATGAAGTTTTACTGAAATCAGTATAGATGCTGACATCAAACAGATTGCTGCTATCTAATGCAACATACAGTAAGGCACAGAAGTTTAATTGTGATGGACCTTTTATGAAATTACGTTGAACTGAAGCATTTTTCCATAAATGTTACTATAAGTTGGACCACGTAAAATAATTTCGAAGCTGAAAAAGTTGCAGTAATAGTTATCTATCGAACTTTTTAGGTTTTTGGTATATGTCTGGAGAGACGGAGGTTTTAAAAGATAAATTTAAAAGATACGTTAAGGGAAATTCATAATCCCCTGTAAAGAAGGATGAAATACGATTAGGATCAGAAGTTAATTTGAGCTTTAACCTTTTCTTTGGAGATATAACCTCGCCTTTCGAAATAGTTAGAATCGAAGATACATTAGTAAATGGAAAAGTGGTATTTTTATCCGATAATTTGGACTATATAAATGTTCTTGTGGATCGTCAAATTATCATTTATGTCTTATTCTTGTAAGATTTTTATCAAAAAGTCAAGTAAAGAAATACAGTTTTAAAGAATTTGTTTTTAATTTCTACCATAATGTTTATCTAAATGAAATTAACATATGCATTATAACAAATTATTTTAATGAACTATAACCGAGCAAAACAGCATAAACTATCAATGTCGATCATGCTATACAAACCTACCATTATATTTTCAAAATACATATGAAAGATGTGGGTTTNATAATCCCCTGTAAAGAAGGATGAAATACGATTAGGATCAGAAGTTAATTTGAGCTTTAACCTTTTCTTTGGAGATATAACCTCGCCTTTCGAAATAGTTAGAATCGAAGATACATTAGTAAATGGAAAAGTGGTATTTTTATCCGATAATTTGGACTATATAAATGTTCTTGTGGATCGTCAAATTATCATTTATGTCTTATTCTTGTAAGATTTTTATCAAAAAGTCAAGTAAAGAAATACAGTTTTAAAGAATTTGTTTTTAATTTCTACCATAATGTTTATCTAAATGAAATTAACATATGCATTATAACAAATTATTTTAATGAACTATAACCGAGCAAAACAGCATAAACTATCAATGTCGATCATGCTATACAAACCTACCATTATATTTTCAAAATACATATGAAAGATGTGGGTTTTATCTAAGTAGATCTAGAAATCTCATCTATCCGTATACTTCTTTAATTTGGCGGCAATACTCGTACAATCAATTGCCAGGCATTTCCAATAAGTAAAACATAATGATTGAATAATGCACAAGTTCATAGGTGGTACATGTGAAGTAATATTTTAATGCCAAATAAACAACACTTAAACCAGCTGGTAGTTTCCTTATATAAGAATAGTTACGTCATGTTTCAATTATTCTGTCTCTATTGGATTTAATTTAAATAGGTAATCCTAGTTTTTTTATGAAATGTGTAGGTATGTGGTATCTATATCGACCTGCCTTCAAAGATATTGCTTATAAACTTTTAGATACTTTAAGTGACCTTAGCAGTAATATTTGGAAGCAGTAATGGAACACAAATTAGGAAGAAATTGGAATTTCAGTATAACTATACTGCTGATTTCCACTTATCATCTAGAATCTAGATGGTAAATATTCTGAATCTACTATATGATTTTAGTATTTGAACATATAAAATATATAAAAAAGAGGAAAGCTGAAAAAAGTATTTGGATCAAATGAGTAGATAGTTTTAAATGGAATTATTTGCCGTAAATCTTATTTTATTCTATTCAAATGTATACTTATACTTTCGTCAAACTATGTGAAATATTTGCTGCAATCTATGATTTTAGTATTTGAACATATAAAATATATAAAAAAGAGGAAAGCTGAAAAAAGTATTTGGATCAAATGAGTAGATAGTTTTAAATTGAACTATTTGCCGTAAATCTTATTTTATTCTATTCAAATGTATACTTATACTTTCGTCAAACTATGTGAAATTTTTGCTGTAATCTATTAATTTTTCTTAGAATTATGTAAATATATATAATTTAATTCAAATCTTTTATAGTTTTGAAATTTATTATCTTGGACTTCAGCTACAATATCTCTTACAGTTCATCATAAACTACAAACATATTTGTTTCAAAACTACCAGTTCCTTAAAATATATATTCAAAATTTAGTATTAATGTAGGAATTGTTCAAGACAAATGTAGCATATTATAATCAAACTTATGTTTTCTTAAAAGAAAATTGTAGCAGGTTACAGAATGGCGTAAATGGGAAGTATCACGATAGATGGAGCCACTTACGCGCTGTGTATACACATCTCCTTGTGAGTAACGACACTAAAGCAGCTGGATCGTTCTATCTAACAACATAATGATGAGGACCATCAATAAATCCCAAACCGACCTATGTCTGGTTGGTTAAACTTACGAACGATCCTAGCTGTTGAACTATTTAATTTGAAACAAAATATTTTTTATTACTGAGAAATATCTATAATCAAATTTCAAATATATTTTTAAAATAAGTATATACATACAATCATTTGACTAACACTATTCAATTTTGTATTAAACAAACGATACATTAATATAGAATAGAATACAAAACATGTTTCTAAAAAATCTATGTAGATCATAAAATTAGGAATATAATTCGTTTAACCATAAGTATCAAATATTTATTTTAAATGCTGCCTATTTTTAAAGTAAGTAATTATAATTTTCTTGAAAGAAGAAAATATTTTCTTGTGTATATATAAACGTGCCATACTTTAAAATCAAATGTATTTGAAGCAAGAAATTTTTTTTGGGTGTAGAGATATTTTATCACAGCGGCATTTTCTACAAAATATACATGTATATAATTATTATATAATACATTGTTCTATTTTTTATAGAAGAAGAAATTTTGTAGACGTAGAGTAGTAATTGCCATAGTAGGCTTTTGCTTCTGTTTTGAAATTAATGATTTTACCTTAAATGTGGGTAAACCTGTAAATAAGAATTACATCATTGTCAACTTCCTTTCGTTTCATTTGTGAGAGAAAATAAATGACCTGCTACCATTTTTGGGAGTGTAGGCAGATTTTCACATTACACTTTCTTTTTCTAAACTTTCTCAGGCTATTTGGCGACAACAAGATTATGGTTCCAATTGGATTTTAATCGATTTAAGATTTTTATAGAATTTTGAATACAATTTTAAACAGTTGAAAAAATTACTTACAGTCTGTCCGTATAACATACGTGATGTCATAATTTTCAGTATCCTTCACATCTTTCTTAAGTAATTTTATTGTCGTTAATTTTTCTATATCTTTCCATTTTACTGTTATTTAATTTAATAATTATATTTATGTCCTTTAGTCACATTTTCAAGAGAAACAATGTCAGCTTAATTTGTACTCGATGCGTTTTATTACCTACTTATTTTTCTAATATCTAAACATCAAGATACTAATTTGCTGCCAAATTACGTTTCTTCATTGAAAGATTGTCATAAAAAAGAGACAAACGCGAAAACATTAAAAGACATGAAGAGGCCATTGTGGAAAGGAAAATTTAATTGCTCTATTATTACTTATAATTCATTCTATTCTGTTCCGCGAAAATATACCTACCACTTTTGGATTTCATTGTGAAGGCGATTTAATATTTAACGCTTAAACAAACAATGGCGTGAAAGTCCAATAGATAACTAAACTTGTTTTTTCGCTGAACAATTAAACAATGTTCGAATGTGTCTTTCTGTGAATCATTTCCCAGTGCTGAATGAATTAAATGTCATAACAATAAGTGATTAAATGAAAACTGAAAATATTAGCAAAGAATTTGTAATTTTGTAATTATTGTGCAAAAAAAAAACAAACATTTCAAATAGACTTTTCTAGCATACAGTACTCCCTAGCCACTAAGAGACTTCTTTAAACTATGATAGTTTTCCATTTTGAAATTAAATATATCAAAAAGTTGAGACTAAAAAAAATTTATTAAAAAATCAGTAACTGATACCCTCCAGTGACGACTATGGTTGCAATTAATTTTACATCAAAAGGCTGTCCGTATAAGAATTAACATATAACATAAGTTTGATCCTTCTAGATAAACAGGGATCTAAACAATTAAAAAAAATAATGTCAAAGGGTCATCATCGATATGAAATCATCCCTGAAATTTGCTGTCGGTTTAGTTTCCGGACACCCCTTATAATTAATATTAATGATCCAATCTTCTTTTACCGACTTTCCACTTCCCAGTATAGTAAAAAAAATCAATCCTGTAACTATATTTGTTAACTATTCACAAATTGCATAACCCCGTGAATACATTGAAATATATAATTAATATTAATCATCCAATCTTCTTTGACTGACTAGAAGCGGCAGTACTTTTTTCAACCTAATTTTTCCAATATGA